GCTGAACATTTTGAAACACAAATATTTATTTCATACCACAATCAGCTATCTGTGGTTTATCACTGTCATCATAGGATGAGGGGAAATGGCCTCAAGTTGCACCAGGGGAAGTTTTGATTGGATATTAGGAAGAATTTCTTCACTGAGAAAGTGGTTAGACACTGGAGTAGGCTTCCCAGGGAGGTGGTGGAGTCATCATCCCTGGAGGTGTTCAGAAAAGATGTAGCACTTGAGGCTATGGTCTGGTGGTTAGGGAAATGTTGGGATGAAGCCTGGACTTGATGATCCTGGAGGTCCTTTCCAACCATAGTGATTCTATGATCATGTTGACAGTATATCTGTTTTCAATATCACCTACATGTTCTTAACAACGTGTTATGTGGTTGCAAGGTCTTGACCCGCTGTTGGGTATCATTAAAAGAGTTGACAGCTTCTCACTGGCTGCACGACTTGCTCATATATGGCTGTTGTCCTGTCTCAAAATGCAGAGCAACATAACCATGGTTTTGAAAGGAGGGAAGGCTGAGCAGCTTCCACATCATGGTTTTGGCAGGTTTGTGCAGTCACTTGAGAGCAGGCTCCCAAGCACAGGGGGGTCATTCTGTACTACCAAAAGCTTATTCTCCTGCTGAGTAAGATATTGAGATCCAGAATAGATCTGGAATAGCATTCAGGCACCTGAGCTTGGTGCATATTTAAACCTTGTTTGCTCTATAAAGATCTGTAGTGCCAAGGCCTCTTTCAGCCTTGGCTTCTAACAGAGCATTGTAGAGATTTTTGTCTTTTTTCCTCCTTCCAGTGCAGCCAAGTCCCCAGGGCGCTCACCTAGAAAGCAGGAGAGGCTGATTCACCTCTTTCCTCAGCCAGAGAGGTTTCAAATCTGCATTTCCACTCCTCGGTGATGTGCCCCACTCCTCCAACACTCAGCTGCATTGGGTGGAGAAAATCACCACCACCATCATGTGGGACATGCAGCCAGAAAGCCCAAAGGAGGTGGAAGAGGAGCTTAATCCTGTAGCCCAGCATGTAGGAGCACAGCCAGGAGGGAAGGAAAGAGTAGCTGCCTGCATTATTTCCTCTCTATGCAGTGACTGACTAGTGTAAAGTGTATAAGCAAGATTAAATGATGCTTGTGAGCAGGAGCTGGCTCCAAGAACCCATCGAGTGAACCCCTGAGGTACTGATGCTGGTGAGACTGGGACAGCAGCTCCAGGCAAAGCCACGCTGCTCTGGCTGGGGAGAGGGAAGGAGCAATTCAGGCTCAGAGATGGTGCCTTGAGGATGGCACAAGGCAAGGATAGGAATGGCTTCATGAGAACTATTCCACTTGCCCCCATTTTATTACCCTTTTTTGGTGGTTTTAGTTATAGATGCCGTGAAAGGCATTTCAGAATTATCTGTAATATAAACACAGAAGTAATCGTGCTGAAACCAGTGTAGCTACTCCGGTACTTAAAATTAAGCATATAATTATATTCTTGAATCAAGGCTTTAATAAGTTAATTAAATTTCATAATTAAAATGATTTTTATAAAGGCAGCGTCCTCATTTGCTAATGTTAACCATAAATGTGCAAAAATAAAAGATGAAACAAATTTTCCAACCTAAGTAATTAACGAGTTATGTTTTTAATAGGAAAAAGTTTTTAATGAAAACACTGTTTGAAGTTTACTCAGTAATTCTTTTCTATAATTATTTGGTATATTAGTATTTTTCCTCTCCTTTTTATTATTAATAGCACCATAATAAAGGCAATAAAATCATATTTAACTTAGAATCATGCCTTCTGTGTGTTCCAATTGTTCCTAATATTAGAGCTGACAAAGTGACATGTGAAGTGTATATACAGTACATACGAAAGAGTCTCCAAGATAAAGATTCTGTGATCCTTAAATACTTTACAAATGTCTCTGAAGGGATTTAATTTCAATAAAGAAATTTGACAGGGAAATGTAATTTCTGATTACACAGATTCCTTTTTTGCCAGTTAACAGAGTTTAAATTGAATCACTGACCAAAAATATTAATTTTGAAAATTATTTTTCAAAAAATATTCAGACAAATTTGTTGATGCTTTCAGTTTTGTTCTCTGAGGACAGCTGAATGACACAAGTATGTATCCTGCATTGTTCTAAATAATCCCTTTTAGGAAGATTAGTCACAGTAATAAATTAAGAGAAGGAACAATTAATTATATTCTTATGAAAGGAAGAAGAATCTTTGAAATGTTCTCCTTTCCTCTTCATCCCCTCCTTTTAAAATCTAACATTGCATTATGTATTTTTCAGTTAGGGAAAATCTTCCAGTCTTC